CGATCATTTTTTTTATGAACTCGCCTCCTCCACCTCCTCCTCCTCCTCCTCCTCCTCCTCCTCCTCCTCCTCATAATAATCCTCTTCTCTTCCTCCTCGCCCATGCTCGACTCCCACCTGATGGTCACCCAACTTGGCGTTGGGTTCGGCATCGGTACCCGAACCGGAAAAGATGCGGGTGCTGGCGTCAGGGTTGGCGTCGGGTCCGGCGTTGACTTCGGAGGAAACGTGAAAGCGAACGTCGGTCTGGCGGCAGGGGGCAGGCTTGCCCTCGGGGCGGATTTGGGGGATGCCAGCCCATCCTCCGCCCGTCGGTCGCGGTCGTCGTTGCGATGCTGCTGCTGGCGCGCTGCTGATCAGTCGTGGCTGCGCTATTGCTGATCGCCGTCGCGGTAGAGGCTAGCCTCTACGTCGGGAATGGTGTCGGGATGGACTTCGGGCTGAGTGTCGAGCAAACCGTCGGCCCGGGTGACGAGCTGGGTGTCGGTCGGGGCGTCGCGCTGGGCGTAAACCCTGGTGCCCTGCATGTGGGGGTTGGTGCTGATGCTGCTCGTGTTCGTCGTGCTGCCTCCGCCTCCGGGACGTCCGTCTGCTCGACGACGTCGGTGTCCCCCACGACGGGAAAGGAAGACCAGGTCCGCAGCGCTGGCGCCATCCCGTGGCCTGCGCGGCGCCCATCACCCAGAGGCCGGCAAGAATTAAGGCGCGACGCCACCAACACAACGCCGTTGCGCTAGATGACCGCCTGGGCCGGCCACCGCCGTGCGTTGGTCCTCATATAGCCGGTTCGCGGAGATGCTTTCGGCCTCGCATGCCTAGCGCGCTGCTGCAATTTTCGCAGCCCCCGCGGCTGCATCCACGATGCGGCCACCATCGGGTATGCGGTATGCGACGCCACACGTGGGCGCGCGGCCTGCAGTGGGAACGAGCTCTGCCGCCTGGTCGGTGATCCTTTCGGCGGCAGCGTGGAGGCGCCGACCTCGTTGTCGTCGTGTTTTTTTTCCTTTTCGTGGGGCTCGTGGTTCTTGCGAACATCGATGATGATATACTTGGTGCCAGTGGGCTGCGTGCTGTCGGTGCTGGTGTCGAAGGGCGGCCATTGCCTCCGGATCGCAGCTCGTTTTGGACGGCCTTGGTTAGCACACGAACTGCATCACGTCGAACATGAAGATGGGCGAACTGCGCCACGAGGCGTAGGCGAGCATTCAACGAAACCTCATGACCGTGAGGCTTACACCCTGCGAAATGCTTAAGAAATCATGGGTTAAGAAATTCATAGTCTCAGAAATTGAATAAAACCCAGAACTTCTATCAAAATCTTTGGATTGACATTGAAACATTAAGAATAATCGAGACTCTGGACGAAAATTTAGGTTTTCTTAAGCATCGTCTAAGGTGTAGGCCCCGAAGGGCCAATCTTGGCGATGGCGAAGGTATCGCGGGCGACGCGGCGACGGGCAGCGCTGCCTGCCGCCATGGCGCGCTGCCGAACGCCGCGCCTGACCGCCGCCCGTGGTGGCCCTGCGTGCCCTCCCCGGGCGCGGGGGGGCGAGTCCCCGCAGATGGCGCTCCTCCTCGCCCTCCTCTTTCTCCTCGTCCTCCTCCTCCTCGTCCTCCTCCTCCTCCTCCTCCTCCTCCTCCTCCACGTCATCCACCTCCTCCTCCTCCTCCTCCTTCACCTCCTCCTCCTCCTTCCCCATTCCCTGTCCCGATGAATAACTCCTCCATGCCACACCCTGAGGCCAGTCGGAAGGGCAGGCCAGGCGTTTCGCTTGAGACTTCCTTATCATAAATGAGCCTGGAGCTTTGAATTTGGCAACAGGATCGCAAATGGGGGGGTGGTCTTCAATATGTGGCTATCGCCTTAGCGCCGCGTGCATCCGTTTGACATATGTGCAAGAGCTTCGCGGAGTGAAGACAGGTGGTTTCAATGTGTGGTTCTCGCATTGGCGCCGCGCACACTCGTCCTAAACATTGCAAGAGCTGAGCAAATGGACGGCGGCTCGGTGTCGAAATGCGGCTGTCGCCTTAGCGCCGCGCAGATTCGTCGTAAGCATTTGCAGGTGCTTCACGGTTTGAGAGCAACTCCTTTTCAACATGTGGCTCTTGCATTAACGCCGCCCACACGCGTTTGAACAACAAACTTTAGAAACATGGGAATTGCGTTTCGGAGCAGTTCCAGACTGTCCGGGTGCACCATGTACGTTGGTTCGCGGTGTTGGAGTACCAGGGATGGCGCTATGGCGCGATTCAGGACCGCTAAGACGCAACAGTCAGGTTAACTCGTGGAGTTGGCTTCCTGAGAACGGTGTTTTGGTATGTTTCAAAATTTTCACACGATTGTCTCCCAACAGGGCACTTCCCTCAGTGGACCTGAATCCTTGATGGTGCCTGCCAGAAGGGAGCTTGGACGAAGGGTGTATTCCAACATCCTTGATGAGTCTTGGGTTTGCATTGGTCCTCCTCCTCCTCCTCCTCCTCCTCCTCCTCCTCCTCCTCCCCTCTGTCGTCTATCCTCTCTATTCGTACATCCCCCTCCCCTTGTCCTCGTGTTACTCCTTCGTGCCCCCGCCGCTTCAGGGGAAGTCACGATTTTAGACGTGGTCCGGTGTGATTTTCCCATCTATCCTTTGGTGTTGGGTCCTCGATTTGAAGAGACGGTGCCCCGCGTCCTCCTCTCCTCTCCTCTCCTCTCCTCTCCTCTCCTCTCCTCTCCTCTCCTCTCCTCTCCTCTCTTCCTCCTCCCGCGCTTCTCCCCCCTCCCAAGCTTGCCTCTGGCCTCCGCGTGTCAACCAGTTCAGCACACTCCTCACACGTTTCGTGGCCCCAGAAGGAGCTCCCCACCCAAGGCCCCCCAGTGGCATGGTTCGCATGCCGCACCCCCTCCACGTTGACACGCCCCCCACACGCTTCGTGGCCCCACGGGGGGCTCCACCGAAGGCCCCATTGACATGGTTCGCATGCCGCCCCCTACCCCCCACTTTGGCGCACACCTCACACGTTTCGTGGCCCCATAGGGAGCTCCACCGAATTCCCCAGTGGCATGGTTCGCATGCCACACCCCCTCCACTTTGGCACACTTTCGTGGCCCCATGAAGAGCTCCATCCAAGGCCCCAGAGGCATGGCCGCCCCCCTTCACTTTGGCACACCCCTCACACGTTGTGTGGCTCAATCGGGAGCTCCACCAAGGGCTCAAGTGGCATGGTTCGCATGCCGCCACCCCTCAATTTTGGCACACCCCTCACACGTTCCGCGACCCCGCAGACAGCTCCATCGAAGGCCCCAGTGGCATGGTTCGCATGCCGCCCCCCCCTCCACTTTGGCACACCCCTCACACGCTTCGTGGCCCCATAGGGAGCTCCACCGAAGGCCCCAGTGGCACGGTTCACATGCCGCCCCCCCTCCACTATGGCACTTTGGCACATCCCTCACACGCTTCGTGGTACCGAAACCCCCAGCGGCAGCGCCCGCATGGCGGCCCCGCCACATTATGCGGTGCACCCTTCGAGCACTTCGTGACCATAGGGAGGTCCACCGAGGGCAGTTCTCACAACGGCGGTATTCACAACTGCATACGATTGGGTCTTTCGCCAGGATAGTTTCCAAAGCGCGGCCGCAAACGCCCCGACCTTTCCCCAGGGGGCAGGCTCTCGTCCCGGATTCGTTTCTCTTTCCCCCCGGGGCGCGATGCCGGGCCCCAAAGGCCCAAATCAAAGAAAAACACCGGGCCGAAAACATTGTCACACCTGAGTGGCGACGTTAATGGGGAACCAACTCGGGGGTGATATCGACGTGGGATCGCCGATGCATCGCCAATGAATCCGCGCGGTCGTGGGCGGGGTGGGCTATCGGGCGCCTATCGGCAATGATTGGGCGATCGGGTCCCCCCTGAGCGTATCTTGGGGGTCCCAGAACAATGTGGTGACAGATCGCGCGGCGACCTCAAAATCCCCAACGTCCTCACCTCTCGCCGCACGTTCCTGGGAACCTGGAGATACCAATCGACCGATACACCCTCGGAGAACGACCCGAGTCCCCAGACCCTGCGGTGACCCCGAATGCCCACAGACTCACCACATGGTACGGTCACCTCACCATTTGGGGGCCCCCTGGGATCGGCGCGGGGGTTGCTAAGGACACAAGGGGGCAATCAGTGGACGTCAAGGTGGGTCAGATCTGGCTTAAACTTGCCTGTAATTATGTGGGTTGCAGATGCCACAAAATGGTTTATGGGAGGTCAGATCGGGGGAACCCAAGAGTGCCAATATTGCTACTCCCCGGGCCCATCCCACGGCGCATTCTGACTAGAATTTCAAGGCGAATCCAGCAGAGGCGACGAGGGCCCCCAAAAGGGAAAACGAGGCAAAAATGGTGGTATCGATGCCTCTTCTTCCTGTGGTCGATGACTCCGCAAAGTGGTCGGAGCACACTGGATCGCTCACGCACCTGAGCCACTTGGGGCATGTTGGCTGACTTCTAGGCCGGGTGGGGCCAAAAAACAGCCCGCCTCGTGCAGGAAGCCGGGCTCAACATCGACCCGATTCGCCAATGCATCGGCGCTGCGGCGCGATACTCAGGCCCCATGTACTCCGACCCCATATGGGAGGCCTTAACGACCTCGGGCTACATGCCAGTGGCCCCTTGGCAAGAGTGCGCGGCGTGCCGAGCGCGGCACGCGATGCGACGGTTCTGGCCCTCGTGCTGGGGTTTGGACCTCCCGCGCACCCCGAGAGCCGCGCACCAGAGGTCACTCCGGTGAAGGGCCACTCTTGCGCGCAGCCGAATCTCCAGGCCTCCCACGCGTGGTCGGAATAGCTGGGCTCGGAGGATCGCGCCGCATCAACGATGCATTGGCAATGCGGCCCAGTGCGGAGCCCGATCTTCTCCACGCCCGCGTCGGCGATGCATTGGCGATGCATCGGCGATGCGGCGCTTCACCCCGACCCCATGTGCTCGGACCTCATCTGGAGGGGCTTCCGAAAACCTGGGCTCGTCGGGCCTCGACCGACGCCGCCGGGCAAGCCTGGAGTTCGGCCTCGTCGTCGGCGGCCAGACGGCCCGCCCCGGGCCCAAGGCTCATGCGCGCATGGTGCGCCCGCCGGCCCGACGGGCCCTGGGAGAAAACGGGCGCTGGCGGGCCGCGCGCCTGGGAGAAAAAAAGGGGCTGGGTTCGGGGGGGCGTCGGGGGCGTCGAGGCGGACGGGAGGGAAGGGGGGGGCGGGGGAGGACAAAGGAGGGGCGGGCCGGTGGGGGGTGGCAATGGGGGGGATGGAGGAGGCGCACAAGAGCGGAGGAGGTGGAGAAGGAGGAAGAGGAGCGTCAGAATGAAGGAGGAGGAGGAGGAGGAGGAGGAGGAGGAGGAGGAGGAGGAGGAGGAGGAGGAGGAGGAGGAGGAGGAGGAGGAGGAGGAGGAGGAGGAGGAGAGAGGGAGAGGAGGGTGAGACAGGGGGAGGGGGAGGGAGTGGGGGAGAGGGGCGTAAGAAAGAAAAGAGGGAGGGAGGGAGGAAAGAAAGGAAGACGGCGGAAGAGGAAGGAAAGCCAGAGCGGACGGAAAGAGGGGGGGATGGCAAAATAGGGGGGTTACCGAAGCAACTCACGTAGCCGGTTGCCCCGGCGCCCCCTGGAGCCCGAAACGCCAGTGCGTCGAGGGAGGCGCCTGGTGGCGGGGCCGAGACCAGCTCCATACAGCAAATTTCGCACCCTTCAGTTCCACCCCCCCCCTTACCTTCGACCCGAAATTGAGGGGGCCGTGGGCGGCGCGACGGGAACGGACCCTGGAGGACACTTGCCGCCTTTCCTATATCGAACATTGCACATCGCATGAGCAATTAAAGCTCTCCACGCTCCCCCTGGCGCCGTCATTGCTTCTCCCCGCGCATCTCACATACTGCTTGTGACATGCAGGACTCGCCCAGGTTGACTTTCGATACTGTTTGTTTGAATCAGGGCGTTTCGGTTTTGTAAACATTGCGCTCCCGCTGCGGCGCTAGCAACATTTGAGGATCGGCCTTCTGCTCCAGTCGTTCAAAATGGCGCTCTCCTCCTAGCGGGGGTAACGCGTCTGGATGCGAGTCGTGTCCCGCCGCCGCCGTCTCCAGCATTTCCAATATTTGTAGCTTCTGCTAAGCCTTTTGTCCATCCTACTCCTACTGCTGCGGATGATGCTCCGCGTCCTCCTCCTTACTCATCGTTTTCCGCCCCCAACCCCCCTCAAATGTGCAAAGACCCTTTCTGATTGAGCACCGCGCGATCAGGCCGCATGTGAAGTCAGGGCGCCCCGCGGATGTACAATGCGTCGCGCCGGAAAGAAGGATGGGTGGAAAGGGGTGGCATGTCAGATATGGCGTGGGCACCCCTAGCTTGCACCACCCCCCCTCTCCCCACGCCTCCAAGTCTGGCGCCACAAATTCTCGGGGGACGCCATCTGAGCACCTCACCCATCCTGACCAGGCCCATCCTGGGCCCATGATCGTTGCACAGGCCTCCTGCCTTGCGCACCCCCGTCAAGGTGTCCTTTGCCTTTGGGGGCTCCCAGGTCGTCTCTTGAGCTCCTCGCTCTTCCCCTGCGCTTCCCTCTCGCGCCGCTGCTCGCTGCTCGCCAGCCCCTCGCGGCGCGCGCTGCCCGATGCTCGCACAGTGCAAGCGGCACGCTGGCGTCACAAACGCATGGCCAGGAAGGGAAGAGAGGAGAGAGCGCGCGCCCAGAGCACCAGACATCCCCAAAACAGCGAGGCCGTTTTTGTTTGGGAATCGGCGATAACCCGGGTTATCCTGGGAGGGGGAAGAGGAGGAGGAGGAGGAGGAGGAGGAGGAGGAGGAGGAGGAGGAGGAGGGGAGGAGGAGGAGGAGGAGGAGGAGGAGGAGGAGGAGGAGGAGGAGGAGGAGGAGGAGGAGGAGGAGGAGGAGGAGGAGGGGGGAGGAGGAGGAGGAGGAGGGGGAGGGGAGGAGGAGGGGGAGGAGGAGGAGGAGGAGGAGGAGAGGAGGAGGAGGAGGAGGAGGAGGAGGGAGGCAGGAGGAGGAGGAGGAGGAGGAGGAGGAGGAGGAGGAGGGGGAGGGGGAGGAGGAGGAGGGGGAGGAGGAGGGAGGAGGAGGAGGGGAGGAGGAGGAGGAGGAGGAGGGAGGAGGAGGAGGAGGAGGAGGAGGAGGAGAGGAGGAGGAGGAGGAGGAGGAGGAGGAGGAGGAGGAGGAGGATTGCCACCTCGAAGTCCGTCCCCTGCGAGGCGGGGCCCACGTGCGGCACTGCCGGGCCGCAGGGCCGCCCCGGCGCCCGACGGCCCGGGCCCACGAGGACGACGGGGGGGGCGGGGGGGGGGGGCGCTGGCAGGGAGGGGAAGGGCGCGGGCCCCTGGAGGTAGAGGAAAAAGAACTATGCACATGCACCGATTCTGGCCAGGCCCATCCTGAGCCCAGGATCGGTGCATACGTTGGCACGGGCGCTCGGCCGCTAACCTTTACAGACGTCAAACCCCTCCAAAAAGCAAATCAACATGAAAAGCGAAACCCATGGAAAATGCAAAAGCTGCCTTTCGCAAACCCTCCCAAAATGTTAACATCGCTTGCGCAGCAAATTGCGATAATCTCGAAAGACGGCGGCCGCGTGCAAACATCAAGTTCGGACCCAGGTCCTGAAAACCAATGGTTTCCCGAAGCCCCCCTGCCTCCCCCCAAGGGCCCCGGTTCAACCCAGAGCGCTCGTGCATCCCGATTTCGGGGGGTGGCGGACGTGCTGGCGCTGGCCTTCAAGACAAATGTGGCAAACGAGCCACCCCTAGCACCCGGGCGGGCTGCTCCCTCCGAGCTGGCCCCGAGCGCCCAAGGGGGCGTCCACCGAGAAGGGGAGTCAGGAGTCAGGAGTCATCAAGAAGGCGCGGGTCTGAGGTCCACGGAGGGCCTCGCGCGGCCCGAGCCCCTCGGCCGCCCGCACGGGCGGAGCGAAGCCACGACCGTCTCCCGCCCACAGGGGGACGTGGCGGGAGATCCCGTCGGGCGGACGCCCAGCGGCCGAGCCGCGCGCGAAGCGGGGCCGCGGCCGCGGGCCGTGGCGGGCGGGTCGAGCGCGAGGGTCCGCCCCGCGTCGCCGCTGCCGCCGCCGCCGCCTCCGCCGCCGCCTCCGCCGCCGCCGTCGCCGCCGCCGCCGAGCCCCGCCGCCGCCGCCGCCGTCGTCGTCGTCGTCGTCGTCGGATCTTGACGTCGTGGTCGTCCTCTTCGTCGTCGTAATTGTTATCGTCGCCGTCGCCGCCGCTTTCGTCGTCGCCGTCGTCGCGTCGTCGCCGTTGCCGCCGTCGCCAAAGACGACGCCGACGGCGATGGCGGCGGCGGCGGCCGCCACCGCGCGAACCGTCCAGCCCTGGGCGGCCCCTGCTGCGGGGGGCCCCCAAGGGTCGTCGGCCCCGCCTCTCGAGTGGACCTCGCGCCGCGGGCCGCCTTCTACAGGCCCCGGGCACAACGTCGGCGTCAAAGAGCACTCTCAATGGCGTTGCTCTCGGTGTTTCGGACCGGAGAATTACGATGGCACCATTTTCAAGAAACCTCCAAAGGCCAAGGTAGACATAACAGGCTGATTGGTAAATGATCCACACACGCTGCAGTTTCATAGTAAGCTCCGCCTCTGGTATTGCATAGGATGTGGCTGCTATGCTAACCAACAGCTCCGTGAACCAGGCAAGGTGTGCACGCTTACGATCACACAACATAGATCTGGGCACGTGGACAGGATCTCGAGAGGTGCACGGCCAAATGATTTAAATGCTACAGAGAAGCACGCACGAGGCATCTTACTGTAACTCATGCTATACATTTGGCAGGCGAAGCTTGCGCGATACCGAATATTGTCGCTCTAACCGCTTGCCTGTGGCCAGCGACTTTAGAGCGATACCGAATGTTGTCCCTCTAACTGCTTGCTGCCGCTGATTAATTGATTTAGTGTAACTCACGCTTCGCACCAAGTCTTGACATACTCATGCAGTCACGCTCATGCTCATGCTCCCCTCCCCCCGTCCGCCCTCCCTCCGCCCTCCCTCTCGCCCCCTCCCCCCTCCGCCCTCCCTCCGCCTCCCCTCCCTCCGCCCCCCCTCCCTGGCCGGCTCCGGGGGCGTATTATTCTTTCCCCGATCGCATCTCGGAGCCCATCCGCCAGCGTACTGGCCAACGCAATGTCAGCTCATTGCTACCTGGAACTGGGGTTCAATGTCAGAACATTGCTCTCTGAAGTGCGGGCACGGGCGCCCGCCAAAAAGTCAAGCCGAACGCGGGCCCCCTCGCCTCACGGCTACCCTTGCAGGCAGAGCCCCCCCGCCTGTTCGAAGTTTCCCCGCGCCACAGCTCATGGGTTGTGTTTCTTGTCAGCCCCCTTTTTAGGTTTTGCAGCCGCCGGGGGGGCCGCGGCCGCGGGGGCGGCCGCGACCGAGGGCGCAGCCGCGGACGCTGCCTCGCCGGCGGCGCCCTTCTTGGCCTTCTTGCTCGCCGACTCGAGCCGCTCCTGCAAGGATGGGCTGATGGCGTGCCACTTGCGCTTCTTCAAGCCGCCCAGGATCCTCTGAACCAGGTCGTGGCGGACTTCCCCGGGGCCTAGCGGCCGCACCGTGCTCTGCGCAAGCGTGAAGTCCGCCAGAACAGATCCCGCCGCCTTCAGCTGCGGGGACTCCTCCTTGAAAGCGTCCGCGACTTCCTCCTGCGTGCGCTGCAGAAGGATGCCGTCGAACATCTTGTATGTGTTGAGCCAGCCAGCAACGTAGGAGAAGTCGGCTTCCTTCTCGAGCACCCGCACCTGCTTCATAGCCTCGTGGAGGTTGGTGACGCACTCGTGCTCGAGGGCCTTCTTCACCTCGGATACGTCAATCTCTGCGGCCCCCAAACGCTTCACCAAGGCCTGGCAGTCTGGGTCCTCCAGCGCCTTACTCACGCGGTCCACCGCCTCCCTGCAAGACTCCGCCTGCTTAGCCAGCCAGGTCTCCAGCGCCCCGCGGCACGCCGTCTCGACGTGTCCCTGCACCTTGCCGACGTGCGCCGCCAAACCGCCGAACTGCGGGACGACGTCGGCGCGCAGGACCTCTGAGGCTGCGTGAATGGCCGCCAAGGCGTTCCGAAGGGGAGCTAGCTGGGAGAAGCCCGCCGTCAGGAGGCCCTGGTGGAAGGTCCGCGCCGCGCGGCATGCCTTGTAAAGCT